TTAATATATACATTTAATTTGAATTAATTATTGTTATTATTGTTGTTATTTATTGTTTAAAGCAAAATATTGCATTCGTTAATTACCAATAATAAATAATATTAAGACATAATCATCATGTTAATAATAATATAACTATAATAATCGTCGTCATCATTACCTTGCCCTGCTGTATCCAGTACCTCTAAAACGCATGGTTGATCATCAATCACTACCTGCTTCCTGTATGAATCCTCAATTGTTGGGTCATATGTCTAAACATATTAAATGTAATCGATGGATGAATAAAATGTGGAAAAGTGCAAGGGGTTTAAAGATTTATATTTGGTAAAAGGCAATTAATAATATTAAATTAGATTATTAAATAAATATTTAGGATTAAACGATTTATTATTTTATATATGTATGTATGTATGCGAAAATATGATTTTATATATGGAAATCTTACCTCTGTGATGAAGAAAAAGAAAAGGTAGAAGAAAAGTACACATTAATAATTAAAATAATTTAAATTTATAAACCTTTTAATGATTCAATAATAAGTTTAATAAAAAACTCACCAACAAAATGATTAAGGCACAACTAAAAAATCCATATAAAAAGAATATAAATATAAATTATTTGTAGATACAAAATAAAAAATTCATTTTAAAAATAATAAAATTCGACATTCTTTAATCGACTTTTATTATTATTTTATTATGTAATACCTGGATTGTTAGAGCAGTCTATATTACAATTAGATCACATTCCAAGAAATTCATTATATTCCAAGTAATATATAATATATATATTTGTGAACAAGAGTTTTTTATTTTTAATAAAACCACATATAACAACAATATAATAAAATGTACCTTGCCGACGCCACCGTCTCCTAAAACTACCAGCTTATATAACATCATCATCTTGGAAGATTTGAATGTTTATTTTTTGTATATTTATATTAAAAATTGTATTGTTATATATATTATTTATATACATGTAAAAGCAACATGCAAAATAAAAAAATGAAAAAAATTGAGAAAATTTAAAAAAGAAGAAATAATTGTGTCACAATTCACAAAAAGAAGGGAATTTAAACAAGAAAATGTAATAAGGAGTATCTTGTAAAAAACGAGAAAATGTAACAAAGCAACAAGTAAAAATGAGAAAAGTAGAAAAGGATTGGATTGATATATTAACTTTGTTTAAGGATTATGGTCATTCCTTGTTTGAATAGTCGTGTATAAAAAAATACCGAGGGATTTGAAGTAAAAAATAAGTTCGTCGTTCGTTATATACAAAATAAATCCCCATTAACTTTTGTCAGCAATACCATTATTATTAATATATTAATATGTCTATTTTAATGATTACACAAATTTTTTATGTAGTAACTATAATTTTTTTTAATATAAATATAAATATATAAATTAAAATTTTTTAGGTTTTATTTAGAAATTACATGATTTATCACAAAGTTCTTAAACAATATGTTCTTTCGGAAAAGAAATTTATATAATAATAATAAATAACAATACAAGAAACATACATTACCTCTGAGACATGAAAGTAGATCATTTGAATATTAATATTAAATAGTGTTACGTTACACATTATTTAAACCATAGAATTTGAATTTTAAGCACCACCTTATAATCTATATATATTAAATATAAAAAAAACTAAATTTGGTCAGAGAACCGACTCAGAGGTCGTTTTTTGCTGGATCCCATAGTCCGAATGATCTGCAAAAATGGTTCGTAGCATTTAATAATAATAAAAATCACGCCACATTAAATTTTCAACGATCTGGTATAAATCTGTGTTAGTAAAATTTACGAAAAAACGATACTCACAGTGGGAATAAACTTGAGAGCAAAAAAATTATGAATAATGGATTCATTTTCATTTAGTAATGAAATTATAGTTATTTTATTAAGTAATCGAAACCGGTCTTTACCGGAAGAATACAAAGTAAGTTTATCGAGATTTACCAGAAAATCATTTTGTATAATAAATATCACACACAATTAAATCTCTCAAGTTACAAACAATGAACTAGCCAAATGAATTATGTTTAATTTGACAGTGCAGAATCAAGTAATAATTAATTAACCATAAAGGCGATTATGCAAACAATAACAATACAACAATGATAGATAACAAACTAGATGATCTTATCTTACAAATAATTAAATATAATAATAATAATAGACCTGATAACGAATATAATCAATCTATAAATAAAAATTTAGTGTAACACTATAAATGTTACTACTAATAATACCAGTTAGTACAAGAGCAGAGGCGATGGTTTCCAGTAGCCAGCAGTTTATATAACAATATTTTGCTCAAATCTCTCCCGCATATTTAATTTGCGGGAATGTTCAATTCAAAGTCAAATTCAGTCAACTTTGACCGTTAGTAAATTGGGATTCGGCTCAATTCTGCTATAAAACTCGAATTTAATTTAATTATTAATATTAAATATTAATATCTGTACGTCTCACGAGATAATGATAATTTATCGACGAATTAAATTTACGACAATTTTAGATTGGGGATATTTTATTTCTTGAACAATTCTTGGAACAAATGATCTATTTTTTAAAATACAGATAGGTGATCTCAAGAGCAAGCGTGTATTCCATTTTATTATTTGTAGATCTTTGAACAATTCAATCTGTGCCATGCGACTTTACCCATTTAAGAAAAATTTCAAAATTATCTGCAGAAAGTTATTGATAGGCTGTTGGTCACTTTTTCAGGATTCGCACAAAAATATTGATTGATAATTAATAATGATAGTTAATCTGTTACAACATTAATTATATTTTTACATTATACTAAAGTAATCTTTCGTCTTCAAGTAATCCTTTTTTTTTTGTTACTATTCCATATTAAATCTTTATATAAAAACTAACATGCGACAAAACAGAACAATCTTTTTATATGAGGCTTTTATTATCTGCCGGATTTAAACCCAATTTTTTTAATGGATGATCTGTTCGATGTAGGCGACACTTAATAATCACATGATTATTATATGATTACAATTGTGATTGATTGGCTTCTACCACGTAATGCTTAAGTATCACTGAGTTTTGCCTATTATATTTTAGTGATCTGCAGACGTCAAATCATTCGATTTTTTTTTAATATTGTTCTAATGTTTGGGAACGACTGAATATTACATCCCTGGTTTTTATTACATCAAATACAAATATTTATATATTAAAATACTGCAAATAAATTTAGATTCTTATTATTATACTTGAGATTTTTTTATAGCACGTAATATACGTGATAATTTAAAAGGATGGCATGTGTTTAGGAATTCATTTTTTATATGTTATCTATATTTAGATTATTTATTAATTTATTTAAATGAGATAGATAATAAATACAAATTGATAACTACAGTATATAGATAGGTTATTGCCGTAGCCTGGTCATAAAATTATAAAAAATTACCAATTTGGGAGAAATTTCGCTAATCAGCCAATGACGGGTGATTAAATCTGTCAAACCATATTTTTTTGTTATTGACCTATCATTTTATTAATATTCTTACAGAATCGTGCATGGATGGTATTTTGGTAAATTTAAATTGTTCAAGAAACCATTTTAAGTAAATCAATAATACAACCGATTTAGGATGCTGAATTCGGCCAATAAAATTTGCACGGTCATTTTGAGCAATCCAATGAAAGTTTATTTACCCAATGTCACAATAGATACTATTTTAAGTTTATTTACATAATAAAAAAAAATTATTATTTACAAAAATAACTAAAAATTACGTTGAAATTATCCCTGTTCAGAATTATATAGCGTTTGAACAATTTGGACGACAATTGTTGCAGCACGGTATATTGCATATAGAATACCAAATATGTCTTTTTGAGAATTATGTAACAATTTAGTGAGGATTTTATTTTTTTTAAAACCGCACTAAAACCTACATCAGAAGCAGGAGTTTCCTTCTTCAGATATTCAAAGTCTTCACAAATGTTCACCAATTAACTTGGAATTTTTAGAAACATAATATTTTATAATAGTTTTTCTTTTCAGACATCTCTTCATCTTCATCAATTTCGATGGATGGTTTGAGTTGCCTTTGATACTTCAATTATCCAGCAGTCTCTAATAGTTGCCTATAATGTAGATTATCCAATGTCAAACAAATTTTTAATTCATTCACTGTTAAACTCTTTATATATATATATATATTTGTCATATTGTTTAAGATTTTTCCTATATATATATATATATATATATATATATATATGCGTACAAGTTTTATATTTGTTACAATTGTTTTTCTGTAAAAATACACGACAAATCTAATATGGTGTAGGCGAGATATTCTGAAAAGTTTTTGGTAGTGTGGGCGTTTCTTTGAAATGTTCTGAAGGTACATCATTATTTATTTATTATTAGCTTGGCTATTTTCCCGACTTTTTTTTACTTTTTTTATAAATTATTTAAATTTTTTCCTGCATTATCAACTTCTAAATTGTTCAAACAAATAACGAAATTATCATAATCCTTCTTGATTTTCATAAAGCAGAGACGTGTTTGGAAAAGAAATTAGGTGTTTGATTTTTTGTGGAAAACAGACTACATAAAAAAAAAATAACAGTCTGTCGATCTTAATTAATGTAAACCAATAAACATGATGGCAGAATATTTTTAAGTGCTTATTAATATAATATTCAGTGATAGGATTTGTCATAAACATTACTTAATGATGTACAGTTGGTGATTGATTTATGGTAAATTTACATTGTATATAGTATAATGACCAAACTTTGAACATATGAACATATTCAATTTATCACAGACGAGTTTCTAATCGTTCACAAGGAATCAGGAGATCCAAAGGATTTATGACAAGCTTCAATTAAAAATTTTTCTCTTATAAAATGCAACGATCTTGTGACGTGCCATACCAGATGACCTGCCATATATAAATATCAATACAGTCAAAACTAATATATGGGGACCAAATGGCATTTTGGAAGGAAAAAAAGGAAAAATAATGCGACGATCATTATTTAATTGATTAAGCAAGTGTCCTTTGTGATCAGTTGCACATAATAATAATAAGTGTTGTTAACTCAATTATGTGAAAATGCCCACATAAGAAACGCGCGATTAGCATAACGGATTTTTTAATTAATATATTGATATTAATATGTTTATTTATTTATATAATTCGTTCTTGAAACGAAATTTGACTGTGTCACTTGAGGCCAAAGTTTGCAGATCTTCTATTCCAAAAACTTATACTATCTTCCTCTACATGGTCTAGATTCAATCTCGATGATCAGATTCTCAAACATGACATGATCAATCGAATTTGAAATCGAAATTTAAAAATTGAAATTAATCCACGGAAAAAGTATATTTTCTGTATGTTTCCTGTTTTACAAACCGAAAATCAAAATGTACTAGTACTAGTATTGTAATTGTAAAAATGCGCTTTCCGTGTGTTTTCCGTATAATAATAATAACAGATGATAATAGTAATAACAACAAAACACTACAGGAATATTCCGGACCAGTACTAGTACAATTTCTATATGTTTTTCGTGTTTATAGGGATGCTGTCACCCTAAATTTCTAAGCAGTTTTGGGAAAGAATATAAACTAGGAGTTTTCAGGTCACAGCATCGGGAAATCATTATTTGAAAAAAAATCAAATATTGTTTACCATTTATATTATAGTTTTTATACAACTTTTGGTGGCTTTTTTGAATTTGCAAATATGGAAGAAATGGAATTCAAAATTAAACTCCGATTTACGTTTTGTGCATCTATCCACCAATTCACATTTTTAGAAGTTTTATCATCAAAGCCATCTAGAAGATGAATTGCAAATCGAAATTTATATAAAACTTCAATAACAAACAATACCCATACAAATTTTAAATTAATTTACATTTTAAATAGCTGTGATTTTTACTCGGAGAGTTCTTTCAATATAAAAGAAAACTTTAATAATGTAGTTTCGGATTTACTATATATTCCTTATATAAAAATAATTAAATAAATAAAGCTTACACTATCTGCAATCGCTGCATCAAACCAAACCATTTGTTATCATTAAAGTAGTACTTGGCCGCGCCATTATCATTTTAATCTACCCCAGTAATATAATTAATATAATTAATTATCTATTTTTTTTATGCCATATTAAGCATATGTAAATAAGTCACATATTCAAAGACAAATCAAAAGAATGTATTCACTTCAGTAATGAAATTCAAGTTATTATGAAATCATTTTTATGACAACTATTGTGTGATATAATATGACTGACTGACAAGATATTTATGCCGTGCACTATTTATAAATAAATTTAACACTTTTTTATTAACAAATAAAATAACACAAACTGCCATCGCAGATTATGAAAAACAATAACGTTCTTCTCTCATAATTACCAACAACGGTGTTATTTGTTCGTGTGAAATTTCAAGTTTTACCATTTATTGTTTCATTTTTGTCCGCTATAAAGACATAATACAACAGACTCGTTCGTTAGTCGAGCTATTATGCTTTTTATAAATTCGAACTTCTTCAGAGTGATTTTGTTTGTACTCCTATGTTAACCATGGGTGACAACAATACTATAACCACTTTTACGAGTATCTATCATCAATATGCAGTTCATTGCTTGGCGGTAAAGGATTTTGGCCAAGGATACAATCAATTCTGGTGTTTGGAAACGTTATCTTTGTTAATGATCCAGATCCTCAAACTTATATTCTAGAGTCTGCTATTTTTGATATAAACACTACAGGATTAACATTTGAATATCCGGAAAACAATGAAATTGATGTTTTTTTTTTCATTTCTTTTCCCATTACGCGTCCGAGAAGATTTTTGATAGTCAAATCCAAAATAATTACACTTTAATGACGAGTTTGACACTTGAAACCAAGTTGAATATCTGACATATCGATACAACAAAGAATTAAATAATCAATGGTTTGGTATCATCAAGACTCTATTCAACAAGTATAACAGGATTAAAGTTTATTTATATTAAAAAAAAATATAATTATCTCCCAAGCAATACCGCAGCGTTTTATTATGATAAGTTGCGCTAATTCTAAAGGGCCAATTAAAGAAAGATAACAGTGAATCGTAGAATGGCGCATCTTCAAGGTAGTATTAGATCGATTACAATCCACTTCGTGCAATGGGTACAATTATTCAAGGTTATTTAATGTAAAAATTGTACTTGTATACCTTTTGGGTTGGGCGTGCAGAACTTATAATTGTAATTACTGTTCTGGCTGCTATAATTTGTAATATACTCGCTGTACGAAGTGCACGTATTGTGCCTGCATATATCCTGTTTCTTGTAAAATTCAATTTAATTTTGTACTCCTAAATAAAAAGCCTTATATGTATGTTAATATTATTTGTTTGTATAAACAAACCATTTAGAAAGAAATAACATTAAATAACGATACAGCTCTTATTCTTATTAAGATGAACTCAAAAAAATCCATGTATTACATTACAAAAATCTTAAACTATATATAAAAGAAAAATTTTTTTTATCAAATTTTAAAATCATTCGTTCCTTTTTTTTATTTATTCAACAAGTTTCTATAATTCTGATCCTTGTGATAAACAATATAAAGAATTACATGCAGGCATATATGTAACTAATAATACATTTCCTTTTCTAAAAATTACACTTAAAAAAACCCGTGCCTAATGACACTAAATATATATATATACAGAAATGATGGTAATGCCGATCTGGTACCGGATATCAGTATCTGAACATTATTTATTTTTTATTCTAATATTACTGGCTTATTGGTTATAATTATTAATATTATTATCCCTTAAACGGTCAGAATATTCTTTAATGGTAACTCGCATAATTTTTTTGATCACGATCTTGGTCAGCAAAAGCAAAATAGTCAATCGACCAACTTTTAAAGAAATTTGTACAAGCCACAAGGACAACACCAAAAATTTTTTTACAAACTCATCATATTAGGAAGTGATATGCTTAGAGAAAGTTTTATATACCAGAAAAATTTACCGGTCATAAATGACCGATTAACCATTTAAGGGATGCAACAAGTACACTGCAGTGATTGTGAACCATCTAAAGCTGCCATTACTTATCTAAGCCGGAAATGACCACTTATGTTTCTTTAATATTTCTTCTAAAATATTCGACCCCCTTCCATTGCCAAAAATATCTGAAAGGTGTTCAATGATCGCAATTCCACATTATGCGACAAAGTGTGCTAGGGCACACATGCTCGCACATCATGAATTTCACGACGATAACCCTTTTGATATTTTGGCTCTTCACTTCTTTAAGCTGGTAGTGGCTACACAAATTTTAGACATTATTTGTACGGAATTCGTCAATGTCCGCTATGGCTTTGACGTATTGTCCATGCCTAAGAGCGTTTCACAGGTCCAACAGATACTTGGCATCAACAAATGTTATTTTGTCGCCTGCAGTGAGCTTTTTGCAAAACTTATGGAGAACCTTTTATTTCTCTATTACTATATATATGACTTCCATTTCCGTTGGCCATAAAACTCCAAGCTGATGGAAGACATAATTTAGGTGTTGCTGGAATGCCTAAACTGTGCTAATTTTGGACGCTGGCATATACCTGATCCATGTTCCAATACATTACCAAGTCCTTCTTTTTGCGTCTTATCTATAATAATAACTAATAATATTACAGCAAATTAATTCATTGTAAATAATTGTACACACCTGCCCTGATTCTGTTCTCCATTCTCTATTTGAGCATTGACATGCTTCATTTTCTCTAATTCACAGCATGGTAAATAGATCTACTGCTGTTACTTATGTTCATCACTGATTCCTAATTATGAAACAACAGCTGCATGAGTTGCTTCTGAAGGTGTCATACTTGGGTTACCGACTACGCTTGTATTTTCTTCTAAAGTGATTTTTGGGCCTGTTTAAAATCCCACTAACAAACATACCATCCGTTTTAATAATCTTTTCACATTTGTTTCTTTAGAAACACAAGAAAGGTCGAATTTCTCATTCCACAATTATCGACTTGATCATCACACCAGCCAAGTTGTAAAGTTGATAGGAGGGCGGTGTTATCAATGATGATGAAGACTATATTCAGAAACATGTTAAAGAGCTGATTTTCTCTAGGATGGTTTTCAAAAATGATCAGATCCAAGGGAAGGTAACTTTCCCATTTCTTTTTTATTTTGTTTTGTCTCATTAAATGGGAGAAACTCTTTGTGACTATGACAGTCTTTCAAAAAGGTACCGAAAGTATATGTTTTGTCTAAATTTAAATGAATTTTCTTGAATCGTAAAATTTATTTGATCTCCAGCTGATACTTTTTTCAAACGAGTCGACAACCTTCCATCTTTTTTTGAAGGGATCATTGGCCGTGACATTGCCAACCTGAATTAGATAAGTATTTGTTATTATCTAGTCAGTGTATTATTGAAGAGTCAAAAATTGGGACTTGATTTTGGTGTGCTACTTAATTTATATATAGAACAAAGACGTTTACTAAAATTTGTTATAATATATATATGAATTGACCATCATTTCCTTTCCTAGATAATTGCAGACTTGGTCAATGCAGTCACGTTTTGGTCGGGCGTTGGAAAAGGCAGAGCAATCTGAAAGCATTTGTAAAGTCAAGATTTTAGTATGCTGTGGCGATTCTACACTGAGACTGTTGATAATAGAATGTTTGATCAAGAATTGAGATAGGAATATTGTATTCAAGGAATATGTTTAAATATACATTCTAGGAATTGTTTTTTCAATAATTATGTTTTTAATAATTAACGTTGTTATGGTCGGTTCGATAATTAATTAATATTGAACAAAATAAGGACCCATGGTAACTTTTAAAGAAAGCAATTGTTGTAGTAGAAATTATAGAAATTTCATAATTGCTAAAGAACTCTTTATATATATATAAGGTGAGCAAAAATCGAGTTGGAGTTTTAATAATACATATTTCTTACTTTAATAAATATTTGTTTTTCCACAATCATTGTATGATTGAATCATTTTCTATTATTCTCACGTTTTACATGTCATGTCACGTGATCAAGTCAACAACATTTTTGGTGAATAAACGAATCCAAATTCTGTTTCATTTTCTTTTTAATTGATACGTTATTGAATAACCTTTACCTAAAATAAATAAAACATTATTTTCTTTTATTATTTATTTAAATCAACAACATCACAGAATAATTGAATGAAGCATTACAAAAAATACCAATCGTTGAAGGAATGAGCTAGTTTGAATGAATTCTGAAAGGGCAAAGAATAACTGAAAAACAACAAGAATTTGATATCATCTGATTGAGGAATGGTATCTTAAAGTAATTAAACAATAATAATGAGAGGGGAAGCTTTGTCACCCTTTTTGAAACCCGTTTCATGGAGAAGCACGTATCACACGTTGGAATAAAGAACTAATGAATCTGATCCAACAGCTAGATCAAATTAATGAAGGGGTTGATTCGGAAGAAGAATTACCAGTCTCTTACGTTCCTACAAGGCCCAAGAGCGTGTCATGCAACTTACCTAGTAGCAATGGATATTAGTACATTAGATGGTACAATTGATGCAGCAAGAAATCTTGAAACTGGCCAAACTTACACTCGATCTATTCCATCAAGGGCATCAGCATTCTTTAGTGAACAAGTGAACCAAATCAATGATTTGGAATGAAACTTACTAAGATGGCTCTGAATCTGGCCGAGTTGACTGGGGTTTTGACAACACAAGATCGTAATAACTCATACGAGAAATTATAATGATCACAATACTTACGATGGTTCGCAAAAGAAGCCCTAATTCAGTTACAATTGTGGTAATCCAGGCCATTTGTCAAGAAATTGCACTAATAATCTGAGCATTAGTAGAACTAATAGCGACAATAGCCAGATGAGATCAAGAGTAAGTTAAAATAGTCATAATAATCCCAATCCTAATACAATAATTATAATAATCCTAATAATTGTAATACTCACTAAATGAATCATCAACATTTAAACTTCTCAACACACCTTTAGAAAGCGAGTGTGTATTTGATGAAGAAATTCTTTCATCTGGAGAAGAATATAATAGTTCTGAATATGATGTCTTTGCTGCTGCTACAAGATTCAAACCCTACACTAGAGATAAATAAAACGAGATGAAGTTGAAAGCAAAATTAAAATCAAAATCCGAGTCAATAAAAGAGTCAAACTTGAAAAGATGGATCACCAAAATAGACTACATGAATTCATACCTGAGAAAAAGAGCAAGTCAAGACAATTAACAAACTCTAATCCTTGACTACATCCACTTCTAGTCGTCAACAATCTAAAGAACTTAAACAACCTGAAAATCAGTTGAAAAGTAAGCAAAGTACAAGCATTCAATATTTGGAATGGATTAGAAGTAAAGTTAACACGAGGTAGGCTCAGTTATTAAAAGTACCTAAATTATTACAAGGATTCAGAAAACCTAAAAAATATCAAGCAGTTAATAATATGCTACTGAATCAAGAAATTTGAAAATAACTCAGTTAGACAAAAAGTCATCATTGAAAATGCTGTTGTGGCTGCAACCATAGATAACGGAGCTGCTTTCAGTGTTGTTTCAAAGTTCCTACTTGATGAATTAGGATATGAAATTGAACAAGCTACTAATAATACTCTTATTACAGCTGCAGGAAGTCAACCAAGACCATTAGGAAATATTAATTATTTCTCCATTTGTATTGGAACCTTTTGCATTCCCGTCTCTTTTGATACGACTGACGTTAATAACCCATCAGTTACTACTGGGTTGAAGAAGGTAATAATACACAGCTCGATTGAAACTCTTCTAAGCTGACAATAATGTAGAAAAGAAAAACATTATAGATACCCGCTATATTAGGCAAAACAATGTTAAATTTGCGAAAGAGGAGTATTGTGGACCAACTACCGAAGATGATGAAGGAGGAGAAAAAATTGAAGAAGGGTATGAAGGAAATTTGTATGCTGATAATTTTAATCCTGCGTTGAAATGATAAAGTCAATCAATACATTGAAGTATAAATACTCGAATTAGAAGTGTACAAGTTAATTTAAATGTTGGCCCATTAACTACTCATCAGAAAGAGAAGTTTGATAAACTAGTTGAAGAATGTCAAGATATTTTTGCAAGAGATGAATCATAGCTTGCCATTCTATAGATACTGTGATGAAAACCTATTAAGTAGCGCCCTTATAGAGTATCACGAAAACGAATTTATTCAATAAAATCCTGAACAATAATTTTATTGCACCATCCACCAATCTATGGACATTACCAGTAGTAATAGTAAGAAGAAGAATGGAAAATCACGTTTTTGTGTGAAATATAGAAAAATAAATTCAGTAACAAAAAAGATGCTTACCCCTCCCACGAATATATGGTATGTTACGAGTCACAAAGTTAAATACAAAGCCACATTCACCATCAAATATGGTAACTACAAATTCAAAGTAATGTCATTTGGTCTTATCAATGCTCCTGGATCAAATGTACACGGTATGTTGTGGAAAAGTGTAGTATGTCTACATATATTTTAAGATCATATGACCCAACTCCAACAAATATTTGAAAGAATAAAAAGTACGGAACTAAATTTAAACGCAGAAAAATGTCATTTTGGAAACCAAGTCGCACTTTTCTTAGGACATGTAATTGGTGGGGATGGATCCATCAAAAATCGAAAAAGAAAGGAATATCCACAACCAGTTAGTTAACACTACAAAATCGAGAGGATTCTTGGGTTTAGCATCCTACTATCGTAAATTTGTCAAAAATTTGCACAACTTCTGTATCACTCACTCACTTAAAAGAATGCTCCTTTGACTGAACTGATATACAACAGAAACCTTTTGATTGTTTGAAAGAACGTTTGATTTCTGCGCCAATCTTGATCTATCCAGATCTTAATAAAACGCTTCATATGAAGAACTGGGTACAGGTAGATGATAATAGCAAGGAACATGTAATTTCCTATGTAAATAATAGTTTGCTGAAAGAACAGAAAAATTATGGAGCAACTGAACTAGCGTTCGGCAGAAGTGTGGGGAATTTAATATTTCCATCGTTGTTATTACAACTATTCATTCTTGTTACTAATCATTCAAGATTAAAGGAAGAAGGATACTATGAATTCTTAGATTGCATCATATAATTTCGAAATTATACTAATGCTGAGGCGCTTTCTGGAATATAATCTTTATTAATTTTCTTTTAGCAAATCATTTTAAAAAAAATTTAATATTCCAAATCTTTGATAAAAAAATATATAAATATACATACTATATATACATATACATATATAATTATTATTTAAATCCGTTTGGCTATATTTCATTAACTTATTTTACTATAATCACCTTTAGCTATATTTACAGAACCAGCGTTCACGTAACTACAAATTAAAAAATTTAACTTCTTGTTATCTTTATCTGAAAAAAAGCAAGGAAATTTATTTTTTAATAACAGCTTGATTTTTTTCAAGAAAAATTTGATAATAAAAATTTCTCAAATCGGGCATTCGATTATTTCATTCCACCTGGGCGTTAAGACATTAAAATAGAATTGTTGATTTTTTTTTTGGAAATGAATTGCCTAATAGAAACAATAATAAAGTTTATAAATTATCTAAACGTAGAACATTGAATATGAAATTAACTTAAACTTTATAAATAGATTCCTTTTACCCAATGATAGAATTTCAAATTATAATAAAATAATAAAAATAAAGAAATGGAAATTAAAATCATATATTAAATAGAAATAAAGAGCTCGCTAAATTTCTTTACAAATCTAAAGACAATTATATTGGATAATCGTTATGGAATCCACAAAGTCAATGATTTACATAATTAATTGTCAAAATCGTGAGATTTGGGATTAGGCCAGCTAAGCCACAATAACAATAACAATAATAATTCAGATAATATTTCGAAAGAGTGCTTCCATCCACACATGACATCTGAAGTATTATTAGGAATGCCGTATACAAAAAAAAAACCGGATGTTTATAGTATTGGAATAATTACGTGGAAATTTACTTCGAGTAAAAACCATTTTATGACAGGCCTCATTAAACAGGATCAGGAATGCTGAATAGAATTTTTAATTTCGACTATTCTTTAATATAACATTAATAGTTAAATGCTAGTATCTTTTGATTATACTTATTACGATTTTAAACTGAACTTTCTACAAAATCAGAATCATTGATTTCATTTTCTTCATTAAATAAACATCTTGCCTCTTGTATTGCCTTTGTTTTTTGATTTAAATCCACAATATTTTTATTTCATCATTTTTAATTCATCCTCCTGAGCGATTGCTTCTTCTTTGGTTATTGGAATAGGTTTAGATAAATGAGTTGTATTTTTATTGTTGAATACTTTTCACAATATAATTTTCAATTCATTTTCACCATTTAGGCTTTTATACATAGATGTTGTTTTGTTAGATTAACAAAATCAAGATTTCTTAATTGAGCTTCTAAGTTTTTGACATTCTGTACTTGATTCGGGGCTGGTTCTTGGAGCATTGGAACGAGTATATCCAATTGTTTTAAATAAGTTGGTTTTGTAGTTAAAATTGAATAAATATATAAAAATAAATATTGTTTGTTACCTGAAAAAATTTAGTACGTGCAGCAATTTTCCCCTGACATAGCTGTGGCTGCACAAAAAGGTATTAAAGATTTTAATGTCTTATTGTTCACTTCTTCTAAATTGTATCTAACCTTTGATGCTGGTTTGACAACCTTGATATGGGTAGTACACAATGTTTCTCTGCAAAATCACTTTATGCAATTGTCCAGCATTGGATGAACTAGTGTTGGTTTCCAAAACTAAGGAGTTTCACGACTGTGCGAAGGCCAAATAAGAACCAACCAAGGAATTTCTGATTAATTTGATAATATGATGATATGGAACACTATCACATTCTACTACGTATTCCATCCCCAACTCCTAATATTTTCTTCGTGTGAAGGAGAACCTTTTCAACATATAATATAGAATTGAATTGGGATTGATATTAACATGATATCAGCCGATTTGGTTTTTAGACCCTTTTTAAACCCTATATCTTATTGTGTACGTAACTTAATGATGTATGACGAAACTTTTGACTTTAGTCATTGGCGTAACTAAAGTATTGACTAAAGGTAATTTCTCACCAGGGCCATTTTGACGATTTGACTAAAGTAAAGGCCCTTGACGTAAGTAAAACCATTTGACATAATTAAAAAACTTGATGTAAGTAAAAACACTTGGTACAAGTAAAAACACTTGATACAAGCAGCAATAAAGATAATGATAAAATAGGATTATCAAAAGTAAAAATGTATTTCGAGGATGAATTATATCATTGCAATGATGCAAGAATAATAATTATCATGGAAGTTTACAAATGTTATAATTCGAATTAGAACTTTTACTTAATTAATCTACTTATATATTTTCTTTCAAAATAACAATGCCTCTTCTTTTTTACAAATTAAAACATTCTTTTTATTATTATATTTCATAAAATGTAAATGTTTTTTCGAATTTTTAACTTTGAAGTTAGCTACGCGTAATAGTAATACTCAATAATATTAATAATATGCTTGAGCTGTCTTTAGTTTCTGAGTTTGAAGAAACATATATTGATCAATAT